TAACCGCTCCAGCTCGAAGGTGGAACAATCCAGCTGGAAGCAAACAGGACAGTGAGCTGAGGCAGCAGAACCAGAGCCCTTGGGCCCTCGGAGCCAAATAACCCACCAGGGAACACTGTTCACCAAAACCTGCCTGAACTGAAAACCAGAATGGGGAAAGGGGAGGCCTGGACTGGAGTTGGAGGGGACAGACATGCTGAGTGCTGGCTTTGTCCCTTCCCTTTCCCTTCTCACTGTCACACACCCACAGAGCATGTTTGCAGGGCAGAGCCCAGCCCTGGCTGTGACAGCAGATACCAAATCCCCATTTTCAGAGATGCCCCATGTTCTAAGTGTCTGCCAAAGGGAAGCACCACCTGCCCCTGAAGAGAGGAACAGCCTATCCTTAGAGCCAGACTTTGTGTGAGCCCCCCCAGCGTAGGGAAATAGGCTCTGGTTTTAGCCCATCACCTGCTGAATCCTGTCCAGCATCTCATTGACACGGATGTAGTCAAGGTAGACCAGCCCTGCCAGCTCCCAGTCCTGGATGAGGGTGCTGCGCTCCGGAGGGGACAGGTCTTCCAGGAACCCCTTCAGGTACTTGTAGTTCTCGTTGATAATTGCATCTAAAGAGAAAAGGGGTCAGGAACAGAGGCCACTCCGTCTCCCACAGCAGGGACAGCCACGGGACTGAGACCACTGCCCCTGTTCCCTTCTGCCCTAGGGGCACAGACCCACCTGAGGCCAAGTGCCTGACAACCAGCTTGTGGCACTGGTTCCAGTGCCCAGCCTTGAACAGGAAAAGGGCTTCCTTGTGCTTGTCCCCCTCCATCCTGGCCCGAACGGCCTTGGCCTCGTGGATCCACTGCGGGGGGACGCAGAGCCTCTGTGTCAGGAAGGTCTCCTTGGCCCAGGACTCGGGGCTCTCGGCGAGGGTGCAGTGCCGGCTCAGCAGCTCCCGCACGGCCTTCTCCCGGCACCTGGGGACAGACAGACACTCAGCAGGCCCTCCTCCCTGCCACCCAGGGTCACACCTCAACACCAGGAGCTGCAACAACATGGTCTGCAAGGGCCCTGCCAACCCAACCCAGGCTGGGACTCTACAGAGCAGTGGTCAAAGGTCAGCCAAATTCCTTCAGTACAGGTTAACCACTTAGAAATCATCATTGGGGTTTTGTTGCCAACTTAAGAACTTTTAAGTCTGGTTCAGGCCTCTAAAAGTAAATATTCAGGCTCGATTTGAAGTTATCACTTGACGAAAAACAGTATTGCAATGTATTAATTTGGGTTGGGAGGGACATTAAAGCTCATCCAGTTCCACCCTGTGCCGTGGACAGAGACATCTTCCACTAGGGGAACACCACTCCTTAATGCTGGCACACTATCAAGGGAAAATGGTTTCCCACTGCCAGAGGGCAGGGTTAGAAGGGAGATTGGGAAGAAATCCTTCCCTGGGAGGGTGGGCAGGCCCTGGCCCAGGTTGCCCAGAGAAGCTGTGGCTGCCCCTGGATCCCTGGAAGTGTCCAAGGCCAGGCTGGACAGGGCTTGGAACAACTTGAGCTGGTGGAAGGTGTCCCTGTGTGGAATGAGATGAGCTTTAAGGTCCCTCCCAAGCCAACTCGTTCTGGGATTCTGTGATTCTCTGATTGTCACAAGTATCATGAGGTTCTCCAGGGGCACAGTTTGATGGGGGAGAAGCCACAATAACCCCAGGTCTCTAAGACAGACTGCAGTTATTTCCAGGCCAGGAGGAGTCAGAAGGGTCACTCACTGCGCATCAGGCTCGTGCAGCATCACAAACACAGCCCACTCCCACAGCCCCTCGCTCTCCAGCTGGGCAGCAAAGCTGGTGTTCAGCACCCCCCGGCTCTGCTGGGACAGGTGGGAGTAGTTGAGGGCCCGCAGCACCTCCCACAGGTGCCAGCTGAGGCGGAAATCCAGCGGGTCAGACGTGACGCTCCTGGGATCCAGCAGCTGGTCAAGGTCATAGCACCTGGAGGGGAAGACACTGGTAACAAAGAGCTCACTGTGCCCACAAAATCAAATCAGAAATTGGGCTTTGGTTTTCTTTTTTAAAAAAGAAAAATAATAGGAGAAGCTGTTTACATTCTTTTGAGCCTGCAGCCAGACTGCCACCCCTTTTCCTCTATATGTGCTCCCTGAAGATTTCTCACTGCCAAAGCAGCAGCTATGGAGAAGCCTCACTACACTCCTCAGACAGACAAAGCACCTAAACCCCCACAAATGTGCCCCAGAGCTGAGGGCTCCCCATCTCTACCATCGCCAGGCGTGACAGTGTCACCACCTCCTGTCAGGGGTGGTACATGGGGGGCTCATTTTGGGCTGCTCTAAGTGCTTTGGGCTGATTTCACACCCCTGCTTTGGGAACTCAGGTAGTCACTGGCTGACCATGGTGTTTCTAAAGACACTTTGAGCTCTTTAGCCCCTTACCTGTCGCTGTAGAGCTTTAACAAATGGAAGCAGACATCTCTCAGGGGCCTTCCTGCACTGTCATCTTCTTCAACGACACAGCCGGAATCCTCCAGGTAAGGGGGCAGGGGGCAGCAGGCGTATTTTTCACACTCTGAGGTGTTCTGGGGGGATAGTTTTAACAGTAAGTGTGAAGACAATATTCTGAACAGAACTGAATTCCACAGCCTAGCAGACTCAGGAGAATCTCTCTGCCCCAAAGCAGGTTCAACCAACTGCCCCTGCAGCTGGAACTCCCACAGAACTACAGACCAACATGGAGAAACTGAACCCAAAATGCTCGGGCAGGTTCATGTTTCACACTGAGCTCTCACGAGCCACTGGTTGGAGGTACAGCCAGCTCTCACACACAGAGCCTGTACTCCTGAAGGGTTTTATAGCTGGAAAACCACAGATGACTTGATGGAAGGAAAGCTGGTGCATCCCTGTGAGCCTTCTCTCTGTAGCTAAGCAGAGTCTGGACAGCCAAGAGCAGCACTGAACACGCTGAGTCAGCCAGAGCAATTTCACAGGGAAATTTCCCTGAAGTTCAGTATTTTGAAGTGCTGAACTCTTTATATTGACACACAGAGAACTCTGAATACTGCAACAGAACACCAGTGACAAGTGGTGCTGCTGTGCTGAGGCTGCTTGAGGCACCGGATGGAGGCTGGGCTGGCTTTAGTTAAATGATTAAACACCTTTTTCAGCAGAGCCCTTTGTCCTCTGACACAGAGCTGGGCTCTGCACAGCAAACGGGGCTCTGCATAATGCATGGAGCCAGGCTGGGCTGGGGGGCAGTGTCTGTGCTGGGCAGCAGGGCGGGCACACACGGGCACAGGCTGGTGGATGTCACAGGGAGCTGTGCATTGATGTTCCCAATGGGAAAACAGGCTGCCTGGCTCCAATGGCCTTCCTGCTGCTGGGCACCGTCCCTCTGCCTAATCCTGTCCAGCTGTCAAACACCTGCAAACACTCCATTGGTGGGTCTTCTCCTCAGAAATTACGATTCTGTAGAATCCCAGGCTGGTTTGAGTTGGGAAGGGACCTCAAAGCCCATCCAGTGCCACCCCTGCCATGGGCAGGGACACCTTCCACCAGCCCAGGTTGCTCCAAGCCCCGTCCAACCTGGCCTGGGACACTTCCAGGGATCCAGGGGCAGCCACAGCTTCTCTGCCCAACCTGTGCCAGGGCCTGCCCACCCTCCCAGGGAAGGATTCCTTCCCAATATCCCATCTAACCATGCCCTCTGGCAGTGGGAAGCCATTCCCCCCTGTCCTACACTCAGTGCCACACTCAGTCTCTTGGCAGTGATACTTGACTGCTCCCAGGGGCACCAGTGCAGCACCAGACACCTGGGACCGGTGAGTGACCCACCTGGAAGGCTGACTCGTACATGGCCAGAGCCCTGGAGATGGAGGCAGTGGGGGGCAGGAGGTACCAGAGGTGCACGGCCACGCAGCGCTTCCAGTCCAGCAGCGAGCACACATTGATGCTGATCCTCTCTGACAGCTGCCACACCTGGGGAACGACCACCAGCCTGGTCACCAGCCCGGTCACCAGCCCCTCACACTGCTCAGAGAGATCCAGCTGTGCCACAGGCACATCTGAGGAACCAAACCACCCCAAACACACACACCTCACACTGCTCAGAGAGATCCAGCTGTGCCACAGGCACATCTGAGGAACCAAACCACCCCAAACACACACACCTCACACTGCTCAGAGAGATCCAGCTGTGCCACAGGCACATCTGAGGAACCA